GTGTGTCTGGCTCCTCTCCGCCAGGCACCGCTGCATGTATCCACACCGTGTCCAGCTGTGGTGGGGCCCATCCCCCACAGAGCAGCAGCCACGCTGTGGTCACGGCCCCTTCGATCACTCCGCTCACTGTGGTTCCTGGCGTGCGGGTCAGCCGTCCGTGGAAGTGTTTTCATTTCTCTCTGGGAAATGCCCAGTAGTGTGGGTGCTCGGTCCTTGGGGAGGTGTTCGGCTTCGTGAGACACTGCCAGCCTGTCTCCTTCTTTCCACGAGCTGGTGTGAAGGGCGAGAACCTCTTGTGCATCTGTCTCGGTGGCATCGGCCCATGTGTGGTGGAGACGGCATAGTGGAGTGTCACATAGGCCCTGTGTGCCCTGACACGATTTTGGGTGATGCGTGGATGACCTCCTCACACTGAATGAATACATTTTAGTGTGCGTTTAGAAAATGCATTTGGCACACCAAACCTGCGATGTCCTGGCTATTAATGCTTACTGGTTAATGGCCGGTCCTGGAACCAGATAGATTCATTTTCTACCTGCTGTGGGGTCCTAGGCAAGCAGTTTGAGCTCTCTGAGGCTTAGCTCTGTCGTGGATAAAATGGGCTGATGTTGTGCCTTCCTACCTTGTGAGCTCCCAGCACTGGTGCAACTGGCAAGCGGACGTTGAACTCCCAGTTCAGGGCTTGGACATGGATGCGCCTGGCAAGTGACTGCCGTTCCTATGAGATGATGTGGCGGAGTGTGTTCGTGGTATCCCTGGGCACAGCATTTGCACACGAGCAGATGTGCGTATGCACAGATCCATGTGAGCGCAGGGCCCCTGCTGTCAGGGAAGAGGACGGAGTGGGAGTCTTCCCTCCAGAGTTGCTCGAGGTGGCCGTGCTCCTAATGGGGGTGCCAGTGAGTGGCTCTTCCGTGGCTGGATGCCTCGCGGCCTATCACTGTCATCCGTTTTGCTGTGGACCAAGGTGTGGCCTGTGCTGGCCTGGCTCTCCGCCCCTCCCAGCCCTGGGACACATGGGGGATCTCTACATCTTCCCTGGGGAATGTCCTTCCAGGGCGGGCTCTCTGGCCCCTGGGATCTCTGCTGTATTTGCACAGAGTCAGTGTTTTCTGGACTCTTACCAGGACCCCAGGACCTCCACAGACAGGTGAGAGGGAGAGGAAAGGTTTCGCAGGAGCTGAGGCTTTGAGGGTGGTCCATGGTCTCCATAGAGGTGACTGCAGAAGTAGGCCCCGCTCAGCAGGTGGGCTCAGTGAGTTTTTAAAAATTGACTTATTGCCAGATATGTGGGCCATGCCTACCATCTTGGTTACTTTTCTCTTGTTGCTGAGACAAAATACGTGACATCCGAAATTAAAGAAGGAAAGATTTATTTAGCTCATAGTTTCTGGAGGTTTCAGTCCATACTCAGCTGGCTCCAAGGCAGAGTGGCACAAGGCAGGGGGCAGCCGTTCATGGTGGCGGAAGGCAGCAAAACAGCAAGAGCACAAGGGAGGAGCAGAAGCCGAGAGCAAGCCCCTCTCCCTCCCTTATGTTGCGTTCAGGCTGTCTGCTCTAGGGTGTGTGTAGTGCTCACACCCAGAATTCCAGCATTGGATTAACCGCAAACTCTAGAAGCCTGCCCCATGACTGCATGAAGCTTTGGGGGACGTCTAGACATAAGCCATAACACCTAGCACTTCGGAGACAGGTGGAAGGATCGAGAGTTGGAGGCCAGCCTGGGCAACAGCCACATCCTGTCTCAAAAAATAAACAAACCAAAAACCAAACAACCAGCCAAACAATTAGACAAACAAAACAAAAACAAATACAACCAAACCAAGCACTCGCCCTTATTGAGGTCTAGTTGCTTTATACTGGGCTGCGTGCATTTGAAGTACATGATGTGATGCACTGCGCCCGTGCAGATGTCAGGGCCGTTTGCGGAGAAGTGTCCCCCTTGTGTTGCCTCATGCTGCTGGGTAGCCTCTGGGCCTTGGCTGGGACACCCACTGTTGCCTCGATCGCTGGAGCTCCGTTTGTCCTTGGTGGGGTCTGGTACAGTGGGAGCAGATAGAGGAGAAAGGCTGGCAGGGAGCCAGCGTCTGTGGCTGCCCCGTGGCTTGAGTGCCCTGTTGGGACTGGCTTGAAATGCATGTTGTGCAAGGCGTAGTTCATGGCCTGTCACCGCCGAGCACAAGCACCGCTGTGCACGCTCCCCACCCTCGCGTCCACTGGGGGTTTCCGCCTTCCCACTCGCACTTCTACGTGTGGATGTGCCCTCAGCAGTGGGCAACGCCGTGTTTCTTTTCTTTTTTGCTTATAGTCTACTTTAATTCTCAATGCACATTCATTCACGCAGTGACAGACTAAAATGTACATTCTTTTATGATAAGCCAGAACATCTATTATCCCAATAATATAAAAAGAAAACAGGTACAAAATTAGTATTAAGGGACTTCCTTAATTAAAATTACAATTCTATATCTACATATATCTATATATATTCCTTTTATTTCCACTCCACCCTTTGGCTGAATTTTATTAATATAATATCTGCCCTTCTTAATTCTTCTCTTATGAAGGCACCACTCCCTAATCACTCAAACCAAGTCTGCTCCTCCTCTTCCTCCTTGACCTCCCCACCTATACTCAAGAACTATTAACAAGACATCTTTTTATATTTCTCTGGAATTAATCTCTTCTTCATTAGAGTTCTCTTTTGCAATTCCATTTCTTCATAAGTGTGGCATGTGAGATTTTAACTGTTCTGTTCCTGTTTTTTCTTCTTCGGTCAGTGGTAACAGCTCATTTTAAAAGTAGTAGCTTTCAGGTGTGATCATTCTCATCTGTAATCCTAGCACTCAGGAAGCTGAGGCAGGAGGATTCCATAAATTTAGAGCAGGCCTGAGGTGTATAGCAAGACCCTGTCTCCACATCTGTTTGCTTTTGTAGTTCTTCTATCATGGTCATAGTCTTATTCAAAGTAGTTATAAATGCAGCTCTTAGTCTCTTTCTGTTCAATGGCAACAGGTTTAAAACGTGCAAAGTTTGGTATTGAGACTTTATTGCTGACAATTCCTTTAAGAGTGTTACTGGATTTTTTTCTCCTGAATCATGATTAGACTTGATTTCATATTCCAGCCTGCACTGAATATAATCCAGATCAGAGTCAGCTTTCTGGAATTGTTTTATCTTCTTCTTTCAATTCTTTTTCCTTTTGCTCTCTTATTTTTTTCTTTCTTCTTCCAGTTTTGCTTGCATACATCATCAGTTCTAGCTTATCGACCTCCACCTCCATGTTGAATAGTTCAACGCCGCTTTTCTGCAGCAGGTATTTTTCTTTGTTAGTTCTCTCTTTTTTATTTATTTTTATTGAGAAATAAATATGAATGAGACAGTTTCACAGCTGATTAATAGGACAGTTTTGATAATCAACACACTGCAGATATTTTTTGAAACCAGAAATCAAGCTGTGTCCAAGCCAGCGTGAGCCCAGCGAGTGTTTTGCTTAGGCAAGCACCTGTAGCGGGTGTGGTGCTCTGCCCTTCACCCCAAGACCCCGTCCTGGAGTGCTCTCCCCCCTCTGGCCCTGCCTGGGCCATTCGGCTTCTTCCAGGAAGCCCCCTGGCCCCGATTCCCGGGCCCTCTGAGCAGCTGCAGCCCCACAGCATGATGCCTTTCAAAGCCCTGCAGGCCCGGCAGTTCTAGAACATCTTGTCTCTTGGGTGAGAGCAAGGCAAGTCTGCCCTGTGCCACCCCACTCCTGGGCCTGGCATGCTGAAGCTGCGCCCCAGAGGCCCTGGCTGTGCACGGGGTTTCTGGCTGGCCCCTGGATGAGAGACTGACATCGGCCACTGGGAGGAGAGGGGAGGAAAGCAGGCAGAGAGGCAGGGAGACGAGGCAGCAGCCTGGGTGCATGTCTTGCCCTCCTGCCCGGGGTTCCTCTGCCTGCTCCTCCCGCACGTCCTGGCTGCTGACTCTCCAGAAGAGAACGGCCCAGCTGGGGAGGCCCGTCTCTGACCCAGCAACTGTCTGCTTTAATAAGCTCCTGTGTCAGAGGGACTCAGACCTGAAGCATCCCAGAAGCTTCTGTTGCATTTTGAGGCGCTCTACCCGTCTACCTCCTCCTTCCCAGCCCTCTGGCTCTCCCTCCTCAAGGTGACAGGATGGGCCTTCTCCTCTACTTGAGGAGCTATGGATATAGGTCTCTGGGAAGCAGGGGGCCCCTGCAGTCCCCAGCCCAGCTTGCTGTGCTGTGCGCTGCTGAGATGGGGCAGTGGGCTCCCTGAGCCACACAGCTGGCGAGTGACGGAGAAGCCACTGGCTCCCTGCCCTGTGCACCTTCCTCTCTTGCCGTCTCCCGGGCACCACTCACGTGCTTGTAAAGCACCTGGTCCTTGGCTGTGCTCTGTGGGGCCTGGTCCACCCAGGAAGAGCCAGGTGTGTGTGAGGGGTGCGGGGCCTTCCCAGCCAGTGGTGGCCCTGTTGTCACCTGCTCACTGCAGCCCACTCCCAAGGCTGCCACATCCTCTCCCCTCTTCCTGGGACCTCTGGGAGACATGGTCTTCCTGTCCATCCTGTGTGTGGCTGTCATCATGTGCCATTTCACATGGTGGTTTCTGTCCACATCTGTATCTTCCTGGGCTGTGTTCATAGCCCCAGCACCTAGGACAGGGCCTGGTGCTCTGTAGTGTGGAGTGATTTGCTGAATAGGGTAAATTAGTAAACAAGCAGCAGTGCAGGTGACCTGTCATCATGGCTGATGGGGGAAGGTGGCTGTCATGGGTATTCAGGAGGAAGCAAGGGCGGAGGGTGGATGGTCAGCCACTCAGGCAATGGTAGACCGATGTGGAGGTCTACCGAGACAGCAGTGGCCAGGATTACTGGCAGAGGGCGGTGGTGCTGGCTGGCCTACCGGGCCATGCCTATGTCCCAGCCCTTGGTGCTCTCCAGGGGACCCTGGGCTGGCCCTGCACCTAGGAAGTCCTCTGATTCCGTGGCTTCTTCCTTTGCAGACTCCATCGGGGGCCCCTTCCCCGTCCCCTCTCACCGATGCCACCACAAGCAGAAGCCCTGCCCCCCGGTGCTGCCGGGTGGGGGGCTCCCAGCCACGCCGCTGCTCTTCCACCCCCACACCAAGGGCTCCCAGATCCTCATGGACCTCAGCCACAAGGCCGTCAGGAGGCAGGCCAGCTTCTGCAACGCCATCACCTTCAGCAACCGGCCAGTACTCCTCTACGAGCACGTCAGGCTCCAGGTGGGCCCGCGTCCTGGCCTCTGGCCTCCTGTGAGCAGGGCCTGCGGCTGCAGCACCGCTGCAGCAAGGCTCCCTGCAGGGAAGGTGGCTGGGGGGGGGGGCGTGCTGGCCATGGGCACCCTTGGGAGCCACTGAGGGTGGCTGCATGGAAAGGTGGCCCTCCCCTGCCCGGGGAGCTGCCGGGCTGAGGCCGCCTCCTCCACCAGATCACCAAGAAGCAGTGCTGCTGGAGCGGAGCCCTGCGGCTGGGCTTCACCAGCAAGGACCCATCCCGCATCCACCCGGACTCACTGCCCAAGTACGCCTGCCCTGACCTGGTGTCCCAGAGTGGCTTCTGGGCCAAGGCACTGCCCGAGGAGTATGCCAACGAGGGCCACATCATCGCCTTCTGGGTGGACAAGAAGGGCCGCGTGTTCTACCGCATCAACGACTCAGCCGCCATGCTCTTCTTCAGCGGGGTGCGCACGGCCGAGCCGCTCTGGGCCCTGGTGGATGTCTACGGCCTCACGCGGGGCGTGCAGCTGCTAGGTGAGTGCTGCTCTCACAGCGCCATGCACCCGCCTGGCTGCTCTGTCTCGGCAGGCAGGGAGGCCCCACCTGATGGGTGTCAGCCTCAGGGTTAGAGGGACCCCAGGACCAGCTTGGAAGGCTCCCCTCCTGCCGTGGCTCTAGCCATGTCCAGACAAGGGGCCACCTCCTCCGGCCTCAGGTCTTGCTGGGCAGTGCACGACCCCACCCAGGCCCCATCTCCAGCGTCCACCAAGTGACTTCAGCTGACAGAGGCCTTAGCACGCGTGCGGGCCTCCGTATTGCCTGTTCTCACAGGGGTCTTAGGAAGCCGGCTCCATTACTGGGCCAACAGAGTTGGAGGCTGAGGGAGTGGGGCAGCCAGGCATCTGGGCTTGTCTGTGTGGTTCTGAGGAGAGCTCCTAGCCTAGGCCTGCTACGCCCCCAGGGGACTGGCCCCACCCCACTCTATGCCTTTCCCTGATGGCTGAATCCAGAAGTGCTCTGCCACTGAGCTCCATCCCCAGCCCTTTAAACATTTTATTTTGAGACAGCCCAGGCCAGTTCCACCTTTCAATCATCCTGCCTCAGCCTCCCAAGCAGCTCAGATCACAGGTGTGGCATTCGCAATGGCCAGCACTTTCTGCGGTGAAGCTCAGTTAAAAGTGCTGAGAGCAGAGCAGGGAGGGCTGGGACTTCAGCTGCTGCTGGGTCCCTGAGTAAATGAGGCTGTCACAGGGGAGTACGAGGGAGAGCTTCCTGGGGGGGGGGGGTCAGGTGCTGACTTGGAGTACTGAGGTACAGGTTTCCTGGCCACGGTGCACCTGCTAGGCCTGGAAAGGGCGCAGGCAGCAGCCCCAGACTTCCTAGGGTGATGGAGCTGGTGTGGGGGTGGGAAGAGATGGCAGACCATGAACCCCATCTGGCACCCTTCCCATGCTGTACTTGGGGGGCATATGTTGTCAAATGTATGTGTGTGTGTATGAGAGAGAGACAGAGGGAGGGAGGGAGAGAGAGCGTGCACACGCATGGAGACCTGGGCACAGGTTAGAGCCCTACGAGCCTCTGCATGCTGGTCAGTAACAGGCTGGTGGGAAGCAGACCTCAAATTAAAGAGGCCGAGACCAGACAGGCCTCTTTCCCTTCTGTCCATTAAATTCTTATTAATTTTGCGGTACCGGGGATTGAACTCAGGACCCTGAACGCCCAAGAAAGCAACTTAATCCACTGAGCTGTCTACCCCGCCCTATGGCCATTAAATTCTTTTTTTTTTTGTGGTACCAGGGATTAGAACTCAGGACCCTGTGCTTGCCAGGCAAGCACTTATTCCATTGAGCTATCTTCCCAGCCCCCTAAATTCTTAATAAATTACATTCTTTGTTAAAAAAAAAAAAACAGTAAAGAGGCCCAGATATGCTCCCCACATCTGGTCCTCTGTCTGCCAGCCTTTCCTCTCCTCCTGGAGGAGAATTTTCCTTTCATTCTGACTGCAGAGCCTAGAAGCAGTACAGCTTTTCTGAAACACTTTTATATGAGTAAAGAGACAGCGAAAGTAAAAACAAAGAAATGAGTAATCAAAACTCTTTCTGCTGAAGCTCCAAGCACCAGGAGGTTGTTTTCATTAACTAACCGTTTAGGAACTTTCTGTTTTTCAAGTCAATAAAAGTGCGTCTGCATTCCTGCTGACAAGCTGCGAGCCCGCCTTGGGCCAGGCCGGGTGTCAGCGCAGAGGAAGGGTGCCCAGGCAGGCTGGGGACAGCGGGCTCCCCGGGGCCCCTGACCCCAGTGCTCCTGCCGGCCAGGGGTCTACTGTTGAGCTACAGAGCTGGGTCTTGGACTTGGTTTCCCCACCCGTATAATGCTCTGGGCTTCTTTTGGAGGCTCAAAAAGCTGGCTTCAGAGCAGCCAGACACACAATGGTGGCCTTCGGAGGCCACCAGCATCCTTCTGGGCGTGGGAAGCCACCCTGTCCTGTGCTCTGTGCCCAGGGGCCATGTGCTTTGAGTCTGTGCTCCGGCCTCGCCCCTGGGCCCTGAGCTGCAGGCCCCTTGACTGACAGAGGCTGTGGCCCAGCCCAGGACTCTGTCCCATCCAGGGAGGCAGACCGCGCTGCTCTCGAGAAAGCCACAGTATTGGTGGGGACAGTGAACAAGTGGGAATTAAACTTTTATTATGTGCAGGGCAGAAAGGGACAAACAGGACCACTGAGAGAACGGGGACTTCTTAGCTGGGGAAGGGAGCTGCAGCGAGGGGCCAGGCTGCCATCCCTGCCTGACAGGCCTGGGTTGGCTGGGCAGGCGCTGGGGACACCGTGGGGCAGCAGCAAGGGAGGGCAGCAAATCGCTGAGTGCTGTGGTCATAGGAGCCCTTCCGTCTGCTGCGATGCTGCCTGCCTGTTGGCTCACTTAACCTCTCAACAGCAGGCCTGGAAGCGAGAGGTTTTTCTCCCCATTTGGCAGGGAGAAAACTGAGGCCCATGTAGGGATGTGGCTGAGCTGGGCCTCACGCAGGGTTCTGAGGACAGAAGGGAAGTCTCTCCCCTTACACACAGCAGCAGCCAGGAAGTCAGGGGAGGCTCGGGTCAGTGAGATATGGTGGAGTCGGTTCTCAGCAGAGGAGGCTTGGGCAGGTGGGAATGAGGGGTGCTGTGCCCGGTGACAGGGGCCCTCACACTGAGGGCTCACAGAGTGACCTGCAGGGCGCAGCCTGGGGCCAGAGCCCAGCAGCCCGCCACGGCATGGCCCTATCCCCTCTCTGACTATACATGGGTCTGTGTGCAGTGTGGCGGGAGGTCACCCTTGGCTGTCCCGGCAGGCGCCCCGTGCACCCGATAAGGCTGAAGCCTGCTGATCCTCATCCCAGCCATAAATCATTATAATCCCTGGGCATTTTCAAATGCTGACGATGGCCCTAAATTCAATTAGTAGATTAAACTATCTTTTCAGTTTGTTCTTCTTACGCTGGTGTGTGTGTGTGTGTGTGTGTGTGTGTGTGTGTGTGTGTGTAGCGTGAAGGAGGGAGGAGGGAGGAGTGAGAGGCCAGCACTCTGCTTCCCTGCCCCCTGAAATGCTCCCACTGCCACCCTGTACAGACTTGGGTGCCATTTCTCCCCCACCTCTCATGATGCCGCTGCACCCCACATCTGCCTTCCAGGGCCTGTGCTTCTCTCCCAACCTGGCCCCTCTGGCTCTTCTTGCTTTTCGGGGTTCTCCTTCCCAGGGAAGTCTTTCCTCTGAAGAATGTAGCTTTGTCTTGGTGTCTGAGGACTGGTCAGTTCTCAGGGGTGACTGCCCCCCATGCCGGTGCCTGATCTTTAGGGTTTCCTGCCAGGCCTGTTCTGTCCACTCCTGCCTCTGGCTGGAACTAAAGCCCTATACCTTTCCTGTTCCTGGGTGTGCACAGGAGGTATGGAGCCAGGCTGCGAAGGAGGGGCTGTGTCCCTGGGCAGTGTGTGGTCCAGACTGGTGTCCGGTCTCTCTCTGCCTCAACCGTAACCCAGCCTCATGCCACCGCCCTCTGGCCACTTCAGGCCACCTCCCTGTGATGCTAGAGCCAGCAAGTCACCCTCTTTCCTCCCAGCTCCCTGGCCCAAGCCTGGGCTGGTATCTCCAAGAACAACAGCTTCCTACCTCCAGGAAGAGGGCCCCGCCAGCAGCTAAATAAACACAAGTTTTATGGGGTGATTAATACTAGGACAGATAAAATCCCATCCTGGCTTCTCAAGGGCTCCCTGCTCATCTCAGAAATGTTAACCCGGGAAGAGCAGCCACAGTCCTGGCAACAGGGTGGGACCTGGACCCTACTCCCAGAGTACTCCCGGAGACCCCCACAGACCCCTGGAGCCCCGGCGGTGGGCAGGAGGCAGATACCCTGAGCCCAGCACCCTTACACTGGCTGGGGGACCTGTCATGGAGTTGCTGTGCACGGCCTAAGTCTAGTTCTGTGATTGAGTGTGGCCGAGGGTAGATGCTGGGAGTGCAGCTGGGGGGCAGACCCAGAGCACTTCCAGGGATGGGCATTTCCAGTCAGCAACCCAAAGAGGTTGGACGAGGGGACAGGATTAGGCTGTGGCAGTGAGTACCATGAAGGAAGGCGGCACAGGGGCACGGCAGTGACTCGTGCAGGTGAGGGTATGCAAGGTGTGGGGTGGGTGGGCATCACCGGGGACAAGAAGAGGTGCCAGGAGAGGATGGTAGCACTGGTGTGGCAGGGGCCTGCCTGCATGGCCCCGGCTGGACAGGAGCCAGGCAGGCCAGGGGTACAGGTCTCACAGGCTGACCAGGGCACAAGAGCCTAGCAAGACGGTGCAGCCAAGAGGGCCTTGGGGGTGCGGAGGGCTCCTGGGGGTCTGCTCCGGGCTGGGGTGAGACCTGCCTGCCCTAAAGATGACCAGCAGTGGGCCCTCAGGGAACCTGCAGGCTCAGGCTGCCCTGGGCCCCGGGCTGGGTGTGGCTCAGCTTGGTGGCAGGAGAGAACGTGAGTCGTCCCGGGGGGGGGGACTGCACTGCCATCTGGTCTGCTGCTTCTCAGGCTAAACCAATATTTACCCTGGGCTGTGGCAGTCGGGGGCCAAGAGGCAAACAGTAGCTTATAGAGCCTGTGCCAGCCTTGGGATGGGGGCAGCTGAGGATGCTGAGCATGGTTTCTTTGATGATTTTGTTCATCATTAAAAAGAAACCTTTGGTGATCCTAGCTACAGAGGAGGCTGAGACAGGAGGATCGACAGTTCGAGGACAGAGGGAACAACTTAGCAAGACCTCATCTCAGAATAAAATAAAACTCCAGCAGGCACAAAACCCTGGGTTCCCTTCCCAGAACCAAAAAGCTTTGCTGGTCCTTTTGTGCAGACATGTCTAGATGCTCCCTTTGCTCTCGCCCCAATCCTGCAGTGGAACCCAGGCGCCATGCCGATCCCCAGCCCTCAGCGCCCCTGTCGGGCCCGTTAAGAATGCTCTTTCTCCTCTGACCACTGAAACACGTGCAGGTAGGTGTAAGTGGTCCAAGCAGTTTGGTATGAAGAC